TTACAGAATAGAGAGCCTTTGAAAGCACCTTAAACCTAGAGATAGGCAGAATTTCAATTCCATTTGCATTCCATTTCTGACGTCTTTTGCCTGCCCACCGGTAGCTTATTATCCAATCTTTAACAGCTTACAGCCTACTATCATAAGTATAAGAGATATTTCTCTTTGATTCTTACTTTAGCTTCTTTTATATCTATTCATCTATTTCTACCATGAAGTACAAATTACTCATTTTCTTCTTACTAATGGTTACAGTTAAGTCAGTGAGGAGAATTGCATTGGTAGATTGTGCGAATTATGGCCATTGTGTGTGATTTAATCTATATTAAGATGTGATTCTCAATTTTATATATAATTAAATTAAGACTATTAGTAATTCAAGTTGGGAGCTTAATCACTCTAAGGTGATATAAAGACCAATAGATCTTTCATAAGGTCTCTCTGTCACTCCGACCAAGTTGCGAACACGAGGTCAAACTAACACTTAAAGACTTATAGTTGAATTTTCCCACAATTAGATGAATGGGCCTCAGGATGCCACTAATTTTCACTTAGCCTCGCCTTCCAAAAGGCTATCTCATCCAGACTGCACTTTCGACCTCGCCTAGGTCTCGTTAGCACCCTGAGCGAGAATCGATACTCGGTCGTGAATTTCGTGGAATGGATGTGAAATATGGCCCCGATACGGGACGGTATCAAAACCTGCTGGAGTTTATGATGCTACTTAAGTGGAGTCAAAAGAGAAGTACACCCTGGGTGAGAAAGCCTTTTGGGAGGCAAGGCTGAGTGAAATTTCATGGTATCTCGAGACCTACTAATATTATTGTGGTAAAAATCAACTATTAGTCCTTAAATCATTTTATTTGACTTAGGATAACTAAGCTCTGACGCTCACTTGCTTGATTGGGGGAGCTCAAACAGAATTCCGAGCTTAATTCACTTCATTCTTTTTGACTACTCTGTTTACCGTCTTCTCTTAAGATGATTCCCACGACATTTTGTATTGTTACATTGTGTTTATTCATTATGTTTATTAATCTGTTGCTTTCGATTTACTCATAAATCGTGAATTTACGGATGGTTGCATAATATTTAACAAATACTGAATTAGATACTATTCTATCCAATCCTACGCGATTTCGGATCATTCGAGTCAAGAACGACTATGGATAGTCCTATTCTTCGGCAGTTTTTTACTTATTTGCCATACTGGAAAGGAGTACCACTATGCAATCAATTATTTGAGATATAATGTACAGGGGCATTCAGTACCACATTTAAATCTCTCATAATTACTCGTGTAGCATTACCTTCCTATAAGCCCAGAATGCATTGGCCCTAGGGCTTGCTGGTAACGGAAAGCTGGACCAATGGATAAATCTATAACCCATTAAACAGCCGACAAATAAAATGAAAAACAATTGATTTTTTATTTTCCTTTAATTTATTAAATTACTTTAAGTCTGGCCACACACTACAAAATATTTTTATTCTTTATCTCTTTAATCTAAGTTTGATATTTTGTACACTTTGAGACCTTTCTGTGAGAGCAACTTCTAAGTGGAATTCAACTCCTAAAAGCTCACCTATATTTGGGAGGAATATTTTAAAGCAAATGAAAAGTTTATGTTAACTATTTTAACATCGTTTACTTTACTGAGTTATCTTGCCAAAATTTATTTGATAAATAAAGCCTAACGGAGATTCCCTCTTGCACCCTTCATGAAATTATTTGAAAATGCATAGGACGGACTTAATGACACCTCGTCTTACATCGGCCAACTTTTCACATCATCAACCGAGGGCCGATATTAGTCATGATAACAGCGCAAGTCACTGGTCATGCGCATCAAATGGTCTTGGACGGCCATCAGCTTCCTCCAGTCATGGCAGGCCTTCTTTATTTCTGCTTGAAGATCATGCTAAAAATATGACAAAACAACAGGGACCGCTGAGCAATCACTGCTTCAGACTGATGCACCAAGATACGGGCGAGCAATTAGGATCAAATCATAGCGACTGCACCACTCATTTAGGATCTAAGCCATCCCGACGGGATTCAGATGACCTTTCACCTGCCACCTCAGTTCTCCGTCATACATCCTCATCAACTGTGAATGAGGACTTCGCCCATATGAATGGGGGTGGACGGCATGAGGACTCGAGCGACGACGCAAGTAGTGATGCTTTGATCGAAGCCGGCTCAAGTGATACTTTCGAAGATGAATCCAGCAAGAGTACTGTAAGAATCTTCGATTTGCCCAGGGTCAGGTCCACTTCAACACGTGGCAGAGCAATAATTCGGAAAAGAGAAAATAGAATTTGTGTTCCCCAAAATTTTAGCCGACATTCAATGACATCTTACATGTCTCAAGAAATCAGTCTTGATCGGAATAAAAGAAATGGCTCACAGCGCAGGAAGTATTATTCGCCCAGTTCACAATGCAATCATGTCGACCGGGAGGGAATATGGCAGAAGGAAGGTTGCTCTAATCGCCGTAAATGTAAGTTTTCTGTTTGGAAAGGATA